TGTTCCTATCAACCAGTAGTCACAGCTAGATCAGCTGGTGGACAGATTTGACCAGTGGGAGGCCAAGTTTGACTTATAGGTAGTTGTATAGGAGAAGTAGCCAAGTTTCATTGCAATCAATTAGAAGAACAATCAGGAATTGCTAAATTATACGCGCTTATTTTGTCTCTTTATTTAGCTTATCCACCTTATCCACTGGTTCGAACTCGAATGTGCCCACCAGACAAAGAAGCGGATATGGAAAAGGGCATGCAATATATGTTGATCATTTTAATGCATATGTAGCCCAAAAATAGCAGCAGCACGATCAGGATATGCCCTGGTTTGGGGAGCCGTTTGCTTCCATTCACAGTCTCATTTAGTGACCACTACCTCCTCCTTTACCTGATCAGGGTCCTTCATACTTGTAGATTTCTTGGTGTTTTTGTGTGATGCTTGTATTGATGTTCTTTTATATATATTATTCTATTTTGTGTTTTTTCTCTTTTTTTGCGATGTCAAAAGGGGGAGTAGTGTGTTGTTAGTTGCTTATATTTTAGTTAATGTATGTTTGACTTATTTTAGTGTAATTTATCATGTTTTATTTATGTCCCTATTTTTGTTATATCTCTATTTTTAAAATTAAAAAAAAATGTGATCTGAAATTTTCTGACAATAATGTTTGTCATCATAAAAAAGGGGGAGATTGTTAGAAATCTAGACCCAAGCAATGTGATTTTGATGATAACAAATATTATTATTTTTTTACTACTGTTATTCTTGCATATCTATTTACATGCCCAGCTCACTAACCTTTCGGGTCCATAAGTTCACTTATAACGTCAATCAGCTCAAGATTAGGTATATTAGAATTGAGTAAGTGTATATTTTCTATTCAAATACATATTTTACCTTTTTTTAAGTCAAATGTACTTTTATGGATCTTGAAGCCAAGTAACCTTGCACACACACTCAAGAGGAGAATTTTGGTGAATTAGAGTTTTTCTATTTTTAATCATATCATACAAATTGTTTTGGATGATCCAAACCTTAATTAGGGCATTTGGGTCATGTAAACCTGATTAAGGAAATCATCCTGAAGTATACCCCTATCGTCTTGGACGATTTGCTTAAATCACAAAGCTAGCCGTCAAAGTCAGTTAGGCAAGTTTGTTAAAACTATCAAATTTTGTGCTAATCGTACAAGACAGTCTGGATCATCCTGGATGATTCGTACTAATCATGCCTAAATTGATATGGTAATTAGGAGAGTAATTACGGTTAGATTGATCGATCATATCATCTGGGATGATCTCAGAATCATATTGGACGGTTTATAAGAAAAACTTTAGTTTTTTCCTAAATATCGTGGATGTCCTGAACTATCTGCTGGACGATAAAGTTTATTTTTGAACTAATCATACAGGATGATGTGGACATCATCTTGGACGATCAGTTATATTTCTATATCATCCCGTTTTATTATCTGGACGTCCAAAACTATATGATGAATGATTATGTATGATTTTGAACTAATCATACATATCATCTTGGATGATTAGAACAAACATTATGTTTTAATCATATAGGAAACCCAAATCGTCATGGCTGGAAGGGCTGATTTAAACTAATTGTTCAAGACGATCTGTCGATCGTCATAGATAATCTTTGATGACAAGTTGAAAATTAGGGTATTTTTTTAAGGCCTTCTATTTAAGCTATCTCAATTGCTTATGATATAATCTTTTGCTGTTGTCTTGACCTAAGAGGGCTTAGAGAAGGAGAAGGAGAGCTTGGGAGATAGAGAGTGAATCTTATGAGGGAGAGTTTGTGAGGTGTTCACAAAGATTATTCCAAGCAAGGATTCAAGTCATCTTCTCTAATCATTGTCCTTGGCTCCTTGGAGGCTCTAGGGAAGTTTTCATCAACACTAGATCAATGTTCTCTGCCTACTTCAGGAGAAAACAAAAGGAGTTGGGATTCTCTACCTGCTTTAGGAGGAAGCAAAAGGAGTATAGGTTCTTTACCTCATCGGGATTGGTGAAAAGAGTTTATAAGGGCTTATCCGCCTTACTATGGGAGCAAAAGAAGAGACACTATAGTTTTAGTGTAATACATGGAGAAGAGGCTCCGAGTAGATGTAGGTCAGGTTGACCGAACCATTATAAAAATCTATTATGTTCTTTTTATTTTTATTCCTACACTTTATTTTTCGCAATTTAATTTTGTGATTGATTGTATGGTTAAATTCTCTAATTAATTTTGTTAATTGCCTTCTCATCAAGGGCTGATCTTGTTTGCTTTAAAATATTCAAAAAGGATTAATTTTTTTTTTACTTAAGAATTTTTAAAATTATCAATTCACCCCCCTCTTGGTTAACCTTGGACTAGTTCATAAGGGCTTAACAACCCTAACAAACTTTCATATTTGACTCAAGAAAGGTAAAAGTATAAAAAGACTGAAAAATATAGACTATTCCTAGTCTACCCAATCTTGAGCTGATTGAGGTTACAAGTGAGTTGTGATCTTGAAATGTCAGTGAGTATGGCAAAACAAATATGCAATAGATTCAAATAGTATAGTGGAAAATCCATTAATATTTGTTATCATCAAAATCACAAGACTTAAGTCTAGATTTTCAACTAGATACAATCTATTGAAGTTGGAAAAAGTGTTGAGGGTGCTTGTAAGGTTGATGTAATTATGAACTTTCACTTTTCCAAACACCAGAAGGTCATCTGCAAAGAGAAGATGCGATAGATAAAATCCATTATGCTGAATCCTTCAAATATTTCAGAGTGTTCAAAGTTGCCAGGGAGACAAAATAAAGCATCCATAATAATGCAAAAAAGATATGGGCTTAGAGGAAAACCCATTCTAAGCCCTGAAGAAGAGGAGAAGAAACCTTCTAAAGCCCCATCAAAGCATATAAAAAAATTCACATCTGTAATGCATGGTTTGATCCATCTAATAAAGGTAGCAGAGAAACCCTTTTAAGACAGTCTTGAGATAAGAAAATCCCTTGAAATAGTGTCAATAGCCTTCCTAATGTCAAATTTAGCACAAAAATACATGTCCTTGTTGCTTTTCTTGAAAAGGCTCAGGAGCTTCACAACCAAGATGGAGTTATCCATAGAGAGTCGCTAAAAAAAGAAAGTAGTTTTACTTTGATGAATTATGAATGGCATGATATGTTTTAACCGAGAGGCTAAAATCTTTGCAATAACTTTGTAAAATACATTGCAAAGAGCAATAGGCCTAAAATCAAAAATATTATTGGCATGTTTGGGAATGAGATTAAGAGTAGTAGCTTTGGCATTTCTCAGAAGGTAGCATTTGAAGAAGGACTTTGATTGCTTTGAAAATAGTAGGAACAATAATGTTCAAACTCTTTTTGTAGAAATCAAAATTGAAACCATTTGGGGCCCTCGGTAGAGTTAGATGATCTAGAAAAAACAACCTCACACACCTCCTCATTTGAAACAAGGAGCAACAAAGACTCAATCATATGAGAGGGGATGGTGTTACCAATAGGGATAACACTGATATTTGAAAGCATAGGGGGAGGAGTATTAAAAAACTCCTTAAAGTGCATGATAATGACATCTTTATTAGGTGCTTGATATGGATTAGACCTAAGAAATGCAACAGAAAGAACACTCCTGTTAAAAGATTTTCTTTTATGGACTTTTGAATATAGAAATTTTAAGTCTTCTTCCCCATTGATCATCCATTTGACTTCAGACCTTTGGATAGTCTAAGTGGCCAAATAGAGGCATAATGCACCAACTTGGAATTTATCTTTTTAAGATTGATACATAAATCTACATTAAGAGGATCCAAGTCTGCTTGCATTTGACAAACTTGTTGTTGAGAGGTAAGATTTGTATACGTGATGACAATAGAATTGGAGGAAACCCAATTCTTAGTTTTGATTGAAGCTTTGAGCAGTTTAAGCTTTAGGTAGAAGCTAATAAAAGGATTTCCTTGAGTGATTGAGCGAATTCTAGCCCAGCAATTTTTATACATAAAGCTAGCAAAAATTGAAGTAAGAAGATCCCAATACTCATGAATTCTAGCCCAGCAATTTTTATACATAAACTATGTTAGTGGCGCAAAGTTTCTTCTACTTTGAGAATAAGAGGGGAGTGATCCAAAACAGAGTGGCTGAGGACTTTGTAGAAAGAGTTGGGATAGGTTATTGTTTTCAACTTGGAGAGTGGGTAATTGAGCGACTATGATGATGCATGCTCCTTCTAACTAGGGAAGGCTTCTACATTGCATTGACAACCTTAGCGTCATGCACTCTTATTATGCCTACTTTCCTGTCGGTCTTATCACTTTTGCCTTCTCTATGGATGGCATGCTTTGCTCGGCAACCAGGTTGGATTTGTCTCCGGAAGATTATTTTCATGAATATGTGGGTAATTGGATGCTTCTGAGTCAACTTTGATGTTCCTTTTTTTATTAGTTTGTTTTTGACATTTACACCTAAGCTTTATAAAATTTATTTACCTTGCATTTAGTTGTGTTTTCTTGCTGCTTTGTTTAAAATTGATTATGCCCTTCAAAACTCATTCGTGTTCTGGAGCCCTTTTTGCCGGGGATATTAATCTAACTCAACTCAATTAATTGAACTTTAATTTATACTTTATTTGGTATGAATTTTTTATAGTTTCTTAAAATATTTTTTAGTAAAAAAATTAATTTTTTAACTAAAAAGTTGTTTTCAGAAATAGTAAGAAAGTTTTCTAAGATTTTATTTGAAACAATTTTTGATTATTATTTTTCATTACTTTTATTAAATTTGTTTAATAAAAAATTATTTTTAAAAATAACAAAAAAAGTCATTTCAAACAAAATTTGTGGGCTCCTTACTCCAATCAATCACGTAAAAAAAAAATGATTTTATATAAATTTCGATTTTTTTGTTTATTTTGTGGAAAGGCGCGAATCGGATTCTTCGGGTGTTTTGCATAATCCCCTTGAGATTCTCTGGAAAAAGCCAAGGTGTGTCGCCTGAACCCTAACATAAACCCCTTAAAAACCAAAACCGCAGTTCGCAACTGAAGTGCATACGCAGTCTCACTATCTCTCTTGCTCTCTCTCTAGTTCCCGTGTTCTCTTCAATGGTGAACGCAGCTTCTTGGGTCTCGCACATCGAGACCTTCGTCGACATATCTCGCCCCGCAGAGCAGCAGGTAAATCTCTCTTTCTGCTTGTCAAATCTTTCATCTGTGCCCTATCACCAAACTAAGTTTCTCACGGAGTAATAAAGTTAAAGTTCTTTATTTTTTTGTTTTGTTTTTGATACCGTGAATTTGCAGACCATTCTGCTTTTTTATGGCTTTTGTTTCTTGTATGTCATCGCTAATATATTCCACGAAGTACCCGATTTTTGCAGTTTAGTGCTTGAAACTATGTTAGTTTAGTCTCCGTTCTTTTTCATTCCTTTACTAAATCCTCTGAGTTGTTTTGTGGCAGAAAGCTGGCGTTAATACAGTGGCTGGTTTAGTCAAGAATGATTTTTTAACTGTCGAGGCATTGGTTTGTAGTTATGTTTTTCCGCACACATTTTTTCTGTTGTGCACTTTCCTTATGTGCCTTGAAGTTGCTTCTCTTTTTTATTTGTTTAGGTAAAAGAAATGGAATTATACCTGACAACCACGGATGATACCATCCGCGCAAGAGGTATTGGTGTTCTCTTGTTTTCTCAGTTCCTTGTATGCTTCATTTGGTGTAATCATGGGAATGCCCTTGTATTTGGGATGTTTTTTTTCCTTGAAAACATTGCCAGCTGATGCCCTTCTACAATTCTTTAAATGCACGCATATTGAACTTTCTTTTTTAAAATCTGAACCTTCATCATATTTTCGGTTTGATTAGATAATAAGGCACAATTTGTTACATTCTATTGTTGGATAATTTTTCCTTATTTAAATGATCCTATTTATTGAATTGTCGGATCCAAATGTGGGAATGGATACATTGAATATCATTTCATGAATAAGAAGACAAATAAAAATATAAAACTATCACTCCATCATTGCATTGACATAAATGGTTGGGGATGGAAATGTCACTTGCTTGACATGCAAAAGCAATTTCTGGTCTTCCACACATGATGTTGAATTGGTATGCTTGATTAAAGCTACTTGGCTTCACTATCCTTGCTAAAGAAAAACTTTCCTCCCAAGGGTTGGAGTGAGGTGTGAATTCTTATGAACAATAAGTTTTATCCTTCTTTGGTCTATAGTTCAAAGTGATGGTGATATTATTAGTAGAATTCAAGTTGGATGGTTGAAGTGGAGGAATGCATTGGGCTTGTTCTGTGATAGTAAAGTTCCCCTCAAACTTATGGAAAATTATATAAGATGGTGGTTAGACCTGCAATGCTTTATGGTGCAAAATGTTGGCCATCAAAACATAGTTTAAAATTGCGCAATAAGAGGCGCGCCTCTGCTCAATTCTGCCCCAAAGAGCCTCATTGCTTAAGCTTTTTTGGGTCTTCATGAGGCGTACGCTTCTGAGGCTGAATTGCGCAATTTAGAGTGAGGCGCATGCCACTTGTAACTGGGACTCACACACTTAAGTTCTAATTGAAATAAGCTATCTTCCTCCTTTCTTATTTCCGCCTACCTGAAACTGAATCGACAAAGCCGCAAGCCGCACGCTTGCTCTGCTCGGCCTCCCTTCCCGCCGCCTCTCCCGCCAGCGCCAGCTCACTCCGGTGATATTGTAGTGTCTGACCGCCCTCTAGGAGAACTCCACTACCGATTTTAGGTATTTTTTTTTAGTTCAAGGAAAGATTTTTCAAGTTATAGAAAATCTAGGTTTTTTTTTTTGAGATTTTTTGTTTGTTTTCATGTTTGTGCATTAGGAAGCATGGTTAGAGGCAAGGAAAAGGAAAATATGTCATTGCGGAGTGACCTTTCTTGGAAATACAGTGTGCAGGTTGATGTAGGAGGCGGCGAGAAGACATATGTGTATTTAAAATTCAATTTTCATGATAAGGTAGTGAAGAGAGGAGTTATTCGCATGAAGGAATACTTATCTGGCTCACATAAGAATGTAACACCTTGTGCGAATGTTCCGGATAAGGTGAAGGAGGAAATTACTGCTTACATGAGAAATAGTACCACGACCAAACATTTACAACAGGAGCAATTTGATGAAAAGGTCAAACATGGTGCTTACTTCGCAAGAGAGAGTGGAAAAGGCTCTTCCTCCACTATACATAATAGAGGTAAGCGGGGTCCTATGGACCAGTATATGACTAATTCAGGAGAGGATAGAGGACAAGTACATATGATGCCTGCGGCTGGTACCAGAGAGGGTCGATGTCAGGTTTGCATGGATATTGACAGATTTTTTTTTGAGAATGCCATACTATTTAATGTTGCAATATTGCCAGCCTACTTCAATATGTTGCGGTCTGTAGGGTTGTATGAGAGAGGGTTGAAGGCACCTTCCATGTACGAGTTGCGAACATGAATTTTGAAGGAGTTGCAGAACACAGAGCAGAGTATTAATGAGATTAAACGGACATGGAGTGAGACTGGTGTTACCATTATATCAGATGGATGGTCTGATATGAAGAGCAGGAGCTTGATTAATATCCTTGTAAATAATCCCTACGGCACGGTGTTTTTACGATCAGTTGAAGCTTCAGATGAGGTTAAAAATGCTGAATTCATTTTCAATTTGCTAGATGGGTTGTTGAGGAGATTGGGGAGCAATTGGTTGTTCAGGTGGTGACTGACAATGCCAATGAATTCAAAGCAGCTGGTTAGATGTTGATGGAGAAGAGGAAACACATATATTGGCCCCCTTGCGCATCACACTGTATCGATCACATATTAAAGGAACTTGGTAATTTACCTCAACACAAGAGAGCGCCCATTCTAGGGCGACGAAGATCACAAAGTTCATCTACAATCTCTTATGGGTCTTTAGCCTTAATGAGAAAGTTTTCAAAGAGGGAAATCATTCGCCCTGCTACCACTAGGTTCGTTATTACATTTGTACACTGCAAATCATTTTTAATTCCTAATGCAAGTTTATTCTGCAGGTTTGTCACATCTTATTTGGCACTGCAGAGCCTGCTGGATGTGAGACAATCTCTTGAAGCAATATTTTGAGGGGCGAAGCAGGTCAAGTGGGCACATCCACTATTACCACACCACACACATCCACTAATTATGCAGCATAATAAGCAAATAAAGTTATTCCACAACTTCTTATGTGCTATTATATATATATATATATATATATCAATTGAGCAATTAACATGACAATAATCATTCTTATTGAACAGGGAAAAGAAAAGTGAGTAATATTGAAAATAATGAAGATATGACATTCATATATACAATTGGAGAAGAAGATTCCCTTGAAGACCCATTTAGTGATGGAACATTATTGAATTTTATATGTTCTTTCTTATTTGTACTCTAAGAGTTTTGATAGGCTTATATTTTGTGGTTATGTACTTTGAATTATACTATACGATGCATATATTGCATCTATTTTATTATTTTTCACTAATTTCACTTGTCATTTAGATGTTTTTATTGTACGACAGACTCTTACTGTTATTTACTGCTAAAATTTTTAAATTCTCATTTACGCAATTTTTCGTCCGTGAGGCTTACGTCTCACACCGCCTTGAGGCTTACGCCTCGCCTCACGGGCGAAAAACGCCTCGAGGTTTATTTACACAATTTTAAACCTTGCATTAAAAGAGAAGTATAATATTAAGTTAAGTATTGCAGAGATGAGGATGCTCAGGTGGATGAGTGGCTTTACTCTTAGAGACAATAAAAAATGAGCATATACGTGAAAAGGTAGGATTAGTTCTAGTGGAAGATAAGATTAGAGAGAGTTTCCTTTTATGGTTTGGTCACGCAAAACAACGGTCTTCTGATGACCTGGTTAGAAAAGTAGATTCATTATATTTGACTTATGTTAAGAAATATAGAGGTAGACCAAAAAAGATTTGGTTAGAAAATATTAGAATGACCTTTCTTTATTAGATTTAAATGGGAATTTAACTTTTAACATGACACAATGGAGAAGGATTCATGCAGCCAACCCCACATAGTGGGATAAAGGCATGATGTTGTTGTTGTAATAAGTTTTGTCTTCATATGAATTGGCATATTAGGCGGGCTTCAACAATCACCCACTTCAAAGAGTGCATCTGATCAAGGATCATGTGTAATTGTAAAGGATGGAAAGTGCACTACAAAATATACATTATTACATTGCAGTTCATGCTACATTCCATTTAAAAGGCAAGACATGCAATTATGCAAGTAGAAGCCATGATCATTTTGCATGTTAGAAAATCAGGTTAAGAATTAAATGAATTAACATATTTAATATCAGAATAAAAAATATATAATTGTACTTGTCAAATAGCAAAAAAAATGTTTGGCAGTAAGATTTTAACTTCTTTTTAAATAATATATTTATTTGCACTGCTATCAATTCATTGCATGAATTGAACATTTAAGATATAATCCTAATATTTCAAAATAAACTTTATAATAACAAGCATTTATTTTTTTTATAATAGAATGTTTTTCTTGTTGGGAATTCTATATTCTTGATGTAAATACTACTAATTCTTCTTAAAGGAAAATCAAAATTTTCTACTCATTTATAGGATATTAAGCTATTTTAGCGTTCTTATTATTAAAATATTTTATAGCAGAAGATATTTAGTGATGCATTTATTGGAATAGTATCTATATTGAAATAGTTGAATTAATTTGTACACCCCTAATATCCAAATGTCAGTATTTGAAAAACTTGCCATTGATAATCAATTGATTAAACAAATTTTTTGCTATAATCAAACCACTAAATTATACCAATGACACTTCACAATTTTGTCAGATCATCTTTTTCAAATAGAGGAAAAAATCGATCAAAAGAAAAATCAATTAGAGAAAATTGTAGAATCTTCAAAGAAGGATAGTCGTCCTCAGTCTAGTTTAGCAATCACTAAATATACATCGATCTAAATGCCTCGAACTCCTAACTTCAGTCTATTGTACAAATAGGCATGAGATTGATAAAATTATCTAATAAATTAAGTCATCTAATATTACTGTATTGGATGAGACCAATACCTCATCTACATATGCATTTGAGGCTCCCAAAAATGTTGAATCACAAAATGAAATTGAAGAAATTCAAAAATCAATTCAAAATCCTAAAAAAAAAAAAAAAAAAAAATCTTTGCCATTAACTATAAATAAATTAAAATACCAAAAAAATGTCTATGACAAAAAATTATTATTATTCACGAGCCCCTATCGATATTATATAAGAGGAGGATCTTAGAATCTATCAAATTCAATATTATCCTACTCAAATTTATGTGTGGAATATTGACGTTCTTCCAGATTATCAAATTCATGGAACTATGCAACTAATGCTTTTGCTATTCAAGCATGCAAAGATACTACCCCACAAGTAGTAAAAGTTATAGTTAATGTTTTTATTGATGTCTTGAAAGCATGATGAGATAGTTTCTTTACTAAGCAATAGAAAAGAGGGGTCCTCAATGATACAAAATTAGAGGATTATACTTAATATTCTAGAAAATTTTATTTGTTGTGTCTAATTATAGAGAATAAATTAAATCTCTATTACAGAAATTATGATGCTCTACCATAACA